AATGTCAACGACAAAAATAGCCCAATGGATACGGAAGTAAGGCAATTGAGAAAAAATGGGGTCAACCCAACAAACCCAAATGAAGTTATTAGCAAGATGTAGTTAGCGGAAAATCCGCGTGGAATTGCAGGTGTGCAGTTTGATTGGTATAATTACCTATTTCAACGAGCATATCATAAAGTCGGGGATCACAGTGTGGGTATCGAGGGATGGGGCGGCCCACGGCCCCTATCAAGTCCAAAAGAATGAACAAGTCCTAAAAGGAGGAAATCAGCTCCCATTATAAGATGATTCTCGACTCCGTCCCCCAATATTCAATCTCATGGAGTGAAATGCAATCTGGATTTCAAAACAAGGGAAATCATGAAACACTATTACCATTAAGGAGTGGTATCATGAATGAGAACATTGTCAACTGATAAAAGTCGGCGAATTTAAGATGAGATACCTCGAAAAAGCACAAAGTTTAGCTTTGTCGATAAAACAGCACGTGAAATAGGCTGACAAAAAATGCATGTGGGATGAGATACTCACAATTTGTCCGATTTCAGTGCAGCCTCGCGAATCAATTTGACCCATCTGGGTAGCAAGATGACGTGAGCCGTAAAGAGAGTCGGTGTCTGTCCATTCTTTAAAGGCCTCTTCACCGTCAAAGAACACCAGCTGAACGGCAATATCGCTCTGTGGCAACAGAATACGTAACAAAAACCGAATAGCCCCCAGCATAAAGGGCAAATATTCACACAAAATAGTTACAGTGGAGTCAGGGGAACGGCACAGTTCGGATTATTTTCAGGAATGTAGAGAAGGAACGCGAAAACTTGCACATGAGTATCCGGCACTTTGAGTAAAAAGGTCTTACTTTTGTTGACTGGAAAAGTTTGACGAGACTCTCAGCAACATTTATTATGATTGAGCACGGAACTGCCGAATCAATAGTCCCATAAAAGTTGGGCATCATTTTCGATTCATAATGGCAAGAAAGGATAATACGACGAGAGGCATCGGGTCTATTGACAGCCAAAATATTTGTGAACGTCCTGATTCCGATCACGGTGGGTTCTGTAAACGTATTCAAACTGACTGTCCAGCCGCTCTCAATAAGCTCCTTCCTTATGAACTGAAGAAAAAGCAAGGGAAATTCACTGTACCTCTTTAACTAATGTATGGTTTGCAGTTCCAATCGGCCGAATAATATTAATTCTGCCTAGAATATAATTGAAGCGCTGCATACTCAGCCTCTCATTGAGGATTGCAACATCGTGAAATGTTAATGTATGCCCAAATATTGACTATAAATTGGAAGTATTTAAGAAGATTCCTGAGCCTACCTCTGAATTAGTAGCGGTGGAACACTTTGAATTGTTCTCATTGGAAATTAGTGAGTAAAAGCAAACCAAAACTACAAAGAGCAGCAACACAACTTCACTGTTTAGCATCGCGGAAAGCGTCAACCCAAGGGCAGTCGAATGCCGCGTAAAACTGAATGCGACAACCAATAAAACGCAAGGACAAAGGAAGTTCACCAATAAATCATTTACTGGATCATAGAAACAATGAGGTCATATCTGAAATCACGATCAAAAAATCCACTAACTTCTTCGTAGAAAGTAATTTGAAAATATCCTCAATGAGGAATAATTTTACACTAGGCACCACAAATGAGCATTAGCTCAGACTGCTTCATTATGCGTAACTCTATGTTACTTCCAAATTGTAAATAATTTAAGGGATAAAATTTGTCTTTTAAATTGTAAATACTTTTTTATGATTGAATAAAGTTAGACAGGTGGGTTTTACTGATCTTAAGGCACACTACAATCAACAAAGTTATCCAATCATTTTCCTGGGTCTCAAGCGCGTAACTCTAATTTTATAGAATTGTGAATTTTAACCGACAGGTATGGAGGGGCAAACAAATGAGATATCATTGCGTAGTTTTCGTCGAGAATTACTTCATAATTTAAAATCGAAGGGAATTCTGCAGGAGCTTAAGGTTTTGTGTCCTTCATTGTGCAATTGTTAAATAGGCTAATCTTAGACAGAAACTAATAACTGAAATGCATTTTAAACAATCAGAACATTGTGATGGTGAATCGTCAGATTTCTCTACATTGATTCACAAGATTGCCCACAGTTTG